GTGTTCCTGCACGGTGGAGAGCCATCCCTGCTGTTCCCCACTGCCCTGCACCACGTGACAAGCTCTTCCATGAGCCCCCCAGTGTCACAAGGCCGCTGCAGAAACCTGAGTTCAGAGTTGTTCTTAGTTTTTTTTTCTTAAAGGGCCAGAGCTGGGCTGGGCGGGGCAGCCATGGCAGGACTGAGACAGCGTGGGAGGGTCAGGGGGCTCATGGCAGAGCCCCCCCATGCAGTGCAGGGCAGTGGGGATCACCCCCTGCCTAGCAGCACCCGGTGAGTGGGGCTTTTTTTAAAGCATCGGGAGCTGGGGCAGGCGGGACAGCCATGAGGGGGGCTGGGGAAGCAGGCAAGGGATGGGGTCTGGCTGGGGTCCCCCATAATCCCCTCCCCACTCCTCCAGTCCTCCCCTTCCCCACCCCAAAGATTCGGAGAGCTTCGAATAGATTCAGACCTTTTAATTGGTCCCCTGATTCAATTCAGATTTGGAGATTTGGCCACCGAATCGGGCCGAATCTCCTCCCAATCAAATCAGCACCTGAAGCTTCGCACAGCCCTAGCTAGCACCAGTACAGTTCCACCACTGCTGAAAAGAGACTGTACCACCTTCTAATGGAACTGCAGCCTTGGAGCCTGACTCTTATTGAGCTGAAAGGCTGGTCAATATGTAGTGATCACCATGGGATGATGGACATCTTTTCCAAAATTCTGAGCAAGTGAAATATATAAACCCCCATAGACAAGCCATGCCCAGCAGCTGCCAGCAAAATTTGTTCTTACAACCACTTTTAGGACCTTATGACTGTCCCAGGACTTTACGTTCAGTCTCACTGTACATAGAACTCTATTTTTCATGGCTCACCAAGTGCAGTAACATTCTTAATATTCTGTTTCCTTTAAAGCACTATGACTGCAAATTAATTCCAAAAGGGCAGGGGATACAAGTCCCAAATTTAAAAACCTAAAATTGCCTTTGTATTTCCTCTTCCACATTTAATTCAAGAAAGTCTCCATAGGTTCAGGTAGAGGCAACACAATAGCCACAAGCTTTTTGAGGGAAGGACAAACCCTTCTCTGCCTAATTTCTATTGTCTATAGGGCTCCTTTCATAGCACCCAAAGCAGAGGCACAATGAAGGAGGCATGTTCCAAGGGAACTTTCTGGATTTGAAAAAGTCATAAAGATAGGCACTTCTACATAGGCACTCACCTAAGGGCACACTTTGCAAATGAAAGTACAAATGGTTAAAAACAACATGTAATGTGTTCTGCTTATGGGAAGCTGTTTTTCTGATGCCAACCAAATAGCCCTATTTTGCTGAAAAGGGAATTGGCATAAGCTGCAAGAATAAGCACTTTATGCCATTTTAACATAATTTCCAGTTTTCTCAATGTACAATAAATACAGCTAGCCTCCTCCCTCTCCCTTTTCCCATGCCTTCTCAAAACGTGGCCCTGACCGAGTAGAAATTTAACTGCTTCCGCTGTTTTGCTTCTGCCTTTAATTGCACTAGAATCATAGAAAAATAGGGTTAGAAGGGAATTTGGGAGGTCATCTGGTTCAACCCTCTGCATTATCAAAGCAGTCTTCCTAATCTACAGTTCTGTAGTTTTATCTGTCCACTGTAAAAACCTGTAGGTTCCTGCAGGTTGGAACAATCATTTGTAAGGGGGATAATTTGAAGGGTGTCACCAGGAAGCTCCGTGTGCTTGGAGAATTTTGCAACAGCTCTGAGCACACAATGTACCTCTTGGCTGTAAGCAGCAGCCCTGAGTAAATTGCACTGAAAATAAAGATCATAGAATCATAGAAGTAGGGTCGGAAGGGACCTTGTAGATCTTCAGGTCCGACCCCCTGCCTGGGCAGGAAGAAAACTGGGCTCAAATGGCCCCAGCCAGGTAGGCATCGAGCCGCTTCTTAAAGACCCCCAGGGTAGGAACCAGCACCACTTCCCTTGGAAGGTGGTTCCAGATCCTAGCCGCCCTGACTTGAAGTAGTTCTTAAGGATGTCTAATCTAAACCTACTCTCCAACAACTTGTGGACGTTATTCCTTGTTATCTCAGGGGGGCGCTAGGGGAAACAAGGTCTCCCCCCAACCCTTCTGGTCCCCCCAGTGAGTTTATAGACGGTCACAAGGTCACAAGACACAAATTGCTGCCATCCAAATGAAAACTCGTAAGTGAGGCACCAGTCTTGAGGTATTACAACCCAGCATAGCACCTACAGCTACAATGTGATGGCTCACAAAGCGGCCTGGGAGTAGCATTATCGCAGAACCAGCAACCCATAGCACTTGCCAGCCAAGCCCTGACATATACATAAAAAGGTTATATGCAAACAGAAAAGGAACTGACTGTGCTCTTTGGACTGGAGTGATTCCACCCATTCACCTTGGGGCAGAAGGTGGGAGTGCATTCTGATCACAAGCCACTGGAAAGCATTATAAAGAAGCCATTCCTGAGTGCACCAAAGCAACTACAAAGCATACTATTGTGACTTCAGTGCTATGATGTGAGCATCAGATACTGTGCAGGGAAGTCACTGATAGTGGCAGATACTCTGAGCCAGGACCTACCCGCCAAAGTATACCATGTGTGGCAGGAGATGGAATCTATCAATGTGCTACAACACCTCCCTATTCCCAAAGGGAATCTCCAGTCAATACAAGACAGCACTAACTTGGAAGAACAGGTACAGGCTGCAATACAAATTTTACTCCGGGGTGGCCAGATCACAAAGAACAAGTGCTCCAGGAACTCATTTCCTGCTGGGAGGTTAGGGATGTACTATGTGCACAAGATGGGATCTTGTTTAAAGGTGACAGAGCAGTAATCCCTGCCAGTTCAAGACAAGACAGCATCATGAAAATAATATACACATCACACCTGAAAATAGAGGCATGCTTGCAGCAAACTAGGGAGTATGTCTACAGGCTAGGCATAAGTCCCTTACCTGGGAATTCATATGAAGCAGGGAGCGGTATGTAAAGAGCTTGGAGACAGGCAACAGGAGGAGATGCTGCAGCCTCATGAGATCCCAACACAACCTTGGGAAAAGGTTAGGACAGACCTATTTGCATTCAGTGATAGAAACAATATGGTCACAGTAAATTATTACTCCAAGTTCTGGGAGGTGGACTATCTAGATGACATTCAAACAAGAACAGTAAATCAGGAAGCTGAAGGCACACTTTGCCAAGTATAGCATACCCGATAACTTGTATTCGGGCAATGGGCGACAATATACAGCAGAAGAATTCAAAAGATTTAGCACAAAATGGGTATTTGAGCACAGGACTTCTTTCCCATGGTACCTACAAAGCAATGGGAAGGCAGAACCACCTGTCAAGACAGCCAAAAGACTCATGGAAAGGGCAGGAAGGATCATTTAACGAATGATTCTTCACTGATGGGGTGAAGAACAAGGACACAATTTCCCATAAGGGACAGCCTGCTGTGACCAGATGGAGGGAAAGAAGACAACAGACAGGCTACTAAGAAAATGTTAAGACAGAGCAGCATATTACAATAAAGGAATCAGAAACTGGAGGCCTCTCTATATAGAGGAGACCATCTGGGTTCAGCTCTCCAGGAGCCACACAAAACAATAGCAAAAGGCCAGTGTCCAAGTTATTGTTGGGCCAAGGTCCTACGACATATTTATCAATGAAGGTCAGCAGTTGAGAAAAAACCATAAACAGTTGCAGTTCAGTAATATCAAATAATCAGTATGCAGGGACAAGAGACCAGCACACAGATGACTCTGGGCCACAACCATCAGATGGCCAGAGGGCAGATGCAGCAAAGAATATGGTAGCCAGCAGCAAGACAATCGCTGACAGAAAGGCCAGAACAGAAGAGAACTAAATCCTTTCCCTGGAGCAGCATGTCAAACAAGGAATGGCAGACTGGTTTAATGACCATTATATTAGAATGACTATGAGACTTAGAAGGTAGCATATTGGACTGATGGTAAACGCCATATCCCCATAGAGGGCTAGCTATGTGCAGACAACCTCTGGCCCCAGACAATCAAAGACTCTCACATGCTCAGCCATACAAATGTCTTTTTTCCTCTTTTCTTTTTTAATGTGTTTTTGTTTGGTTTATTACAAGGAAAGATACAACTACCTGCAGGTTCTCTGCAGGCTGGAACAAGAGTTGTAGGGGAGATGATTTGGAGGAAGCTCCATATGCCTGAGGACACCATAAAGCTCCATGTACTTGGGGAATTTCACAAGAGTTTGGAGCACACAGTGCACCTCATTCTTGCAAGCAGTGGTACTGCGTACAGCACACTTAAAATAGTATACATGTTAATGCAGTCTAAATGGAGTCCCTGTATTATTGCACAGATATCTGTGCATGAAACAAGAAGGGACCTCAGGAGGTCATCTGGCCCAACCCTCTGCCTTGTCAAGGTAGAATCATCCCTATCTCCCACTCTATAATTTATCCACCCCCCTCTTTCTTAGGGTTTTTATGTAGCACCTATCACTATGTTTTCTAAATACTTGGTTATCTAGAGTAAGTTCAGTTTAATTTATAGTGAACTTCTCCAAGGAATGGCTTATTCATTGTGCTTTGTAATGTAGTAGGCACATCTGTGAACTTCTGTCAATAACTGTAGGAAAAAAAGTGGGGTATGTGACCCAAGATTGTACTTAGCAATCTAAGGGCCAAAAACATGAGTTGCCATTGATATAATAAGGAAGAAATGTCTATGCTTTGCAGAAGTCCTATTGGAAGGAGATGTAAAACTTCAATTTAGTGCATGCGCAGAAAAAAGAAGAAAAGAACCTGAAATCTCACTTGATCAGAACAAGGAAGTTGCAGGATTCTTTTGGCAAAAGATGCAAAGTTGCCTTTGCATCCTTATGATGTTACATTCTGAATAATCCAGCTGGTGAAAGAGCATGCAGACAAGAGTGGCTCATTGGCCCTGACTTTGTAGAAATTACAAACTCCTGTATTCTATGTACAGTTGTAGTTAATTGTGGTTTGTGTAAGGGCAGAGGCAGGGTCCTGAGAGCAACCTGAGGCTCTGACTCATGCATATAAATAATAATATATACATTCATTCATGCACACATTTCAGCACTAGGTGGTGAACAGTTTCAAGGGGAATTCAGTCTGCCCTATTTTCACTGGAGCCTGCCACTCAAATCCAGCCTTTCTGTCTTTCTCAGTCTTTAGTGCAAGCCTCTTGTTTAACACCTGCCTCCATTCAATTTCTGTCACTGGAGCACTTGCCTGCATAGAAGTAACTGTCCACCCATTTCTTTCCCCCAACAGTTTCCATTTCACAGTCTCCCATGGCAGCAGTGGAAGAGGACCTGTACCATGGGGGTACATGGAAGTGCTGGAGGTCCTGGGGATCCTGATAAGGATAAAATCCCAAGACTTCAGCTACACCTCCACTGCTAGAAGCTCTTTGTGCCTCTCTGGCTGTTTCTCAGGCTCCTGCCTCTTCTGCTCTCCCTCCATTCCACCATATGGACCTTCTCTCACACACCATTTCTGGCAGTGTGGGTGAATTGAATCAGGTGTGTGACTGCTTGCTGGTGCCATGGCTGCTAGCCTGTTCAGTCATTTTCCAGTAAGAGGTGGATTTCAGGAACCGGGGGTAGGAGTCCTTCTCCATTAAGGTGCGGGTTTTTGCCTGAGCTTCATCAAAGCAAGCAGAGGTAGCACTTGTCAAGTTTTTCCGAGTTAGCTCTCTGGTTTCATGGTCAATATTTACCTGTGAAGAAGGACAGGATACACAAGCATGTTAATTTGGTATATCAGCATTCCCAAATGGAGAAGGAAATTATTTTTACATATGCACTAATACATTTTATTATTATTTCTTTTCATTCTGGGACATTGCTTGAAGTACACAAGGTGTCTTTCAGAGTAACTGAATGCATCAGGGATGGGAATTAACTTATTTTCCCATTGTTTGATCAGGGGAAGTCTTTTGACATCACAAAGGTGTGCTAAGCAAATAAAGTACCTATTCATTCACTATAGCCGTCATAAAATGCAGAATTAGGTTTAATTCTCACCTCTCTGGGTGCTTCATTTTGAATAAACTTTTCAAAGATCCTGTTCGCCTTGGATGCCAATTTAGATTTTGACCGGGTCTTTTTGTAGTCTTCACAAGCCAGCCAAAACTCCAGGTTCTCCTCACTGAACTCTGTCTTCAGGAAGGTGTAGAATGCAGACAACCCATCTACGGAAGAGGAGGAGAATCAGATTGAGGGGTGGGAGAAAAGGAAGAAAGGCAGCAGCTTTGGAAGACAAGGAAGCCTGCCAGATAGTGAAGTACATCCTGCTTATTAAGCAGTTTAGCACTGCTGAAAAAGTCTCTCTCTGGGAGTTTAGACCATGACATAAAAAAGGTTTCACTTTCATCTGGATAAATTCCAGCCTTCTAAGATCTTGTTAATTGGCTCCTGGGTTCCAATTAACCGCTTTCCCACAGACAAGGATGGAAGGAGTATGTAGCGTGGTTTATATATTTGGCCTTTCTGTAATATTTCTTCTGAGTATATTCCCTGTGGCTTTGGAAATGCTAGCCAATTCTTATAGACAGATCCTGCCCTCAACAAGTATTTGAGTAGGTCTGAAGTGGGGAGTTTCTCTCTCCTTTTTCTTAGCTGAGATCTACAAAGAAAAAGCTACCAAAGACATGCAGAAGTGTATGTGCAGCACTGGAACCCAAATTGGCAGGGAAGAAATTCTGCTTGATTTTTGCCTGGTTTTTCAGGCAGTTTCTATCCCCTTGGCCTCCTCACTTCCAAATACTGCTCTTAGAAAGAGGAAGGATATGATTCCTAAATGTGTAGCTGGCTTCTGTTGTAACCTGTGAATGAGGGGATGTTACCCATTACCCTGAATCTAACCCCAAAAGTCAGTCATTTGTCTACTCTCCAGCTCACCGAGTGCATTTGCTCTACATGGTCTAATACAGCAGATACATACTCACTTTTACTCTTAAGCAGCTGGTCAAAAGATTGTTTCCATCCTAGTACCTCTTCTGAGGAGTATCTGGAAAGGAAAAGGAAAGGAAACCATACTTTATTGAAACAAATTCTAATACATGTCCACCCTGCTCAAATACTCAAGGATAAAGTTCCAGAACAGAGGCTGCTGATTGTAGCACTCAGTAGAAAACTAAAGAGACCCAGTACTATCATTACCTGTGGGTTCTTCTCTTTCCTTTCTCTCTCTTTCTCCCCGTCTCATTTTCCCAGATGACTTGCCAGATCTCAGTTCCATACTGTAGCTATGCCAGTTTTTGTTCTTCTATACAAAGTATACAGAAGAGCCAGCTCCAGTACAAGCTCAGCAGAACTCCTGCTAGCTCAGGCAAAGAGAGCTTTTCCCTTCAAGTAGGAAAGGAAAGCTTCTCCTTTTAGTAAGGACTATATTTCTCTGTGGGTCACAGAGAATACAGAAGCTGGTTTGGGACTCCAGTAAGTGGTCAAGCCCACTCTGATGTCTAGCTGAGGACTGATACAGCACACTCTGATCCTGATACCAGGGTTCCTGTTGCCCAGTATGGTTTTAGGACTAATGGAGTGGAGTAATAAATATTTCCCCCAAGCATTTTTTTTTTTTTTGCGGGGGGGGAGGTAGTGGGTTGAGGTCTGTGAGTTCTGCTGATGTATTGACCTTCCTCCCACAGATGAAGAGGAGGGTGTGGACATGACCCCATCCCAGGGAAGTCCTTTGGAGCCTGTACAACTCCTTCATGTTCCCATGCTCTGCTGCTCTCTCCTTCTTAAACCCATCCAGTTACATTTGGGAGTGAGCTAATTGGCTTACCTCATCTTGGTGCCCCACAGAGGCTTGCTGGAGCTCAACTCATGTCCCAGCTCTGTTTTATGAAGCAGGAGCCTTAAGCGAGTCTTGAATTCTTTGGCTCTGAAAGACAGAAGAGAAGACGCAAATTGAACCAATACAAAAAGGAAACACTGGCCACTAGGTGGCAGAGGTGTGTGCTCATCAAACAAAGGCCAGAGGTTTAGACAAACTCCCTAGCATGACTACAGTATCCTGAAAGAGAGGTACCTCTCGCCTTATGCCTGGATGGAGTTAATAAACACACTGCATCCAGGTGATGGAGGCTGTTGCCATTCCCTTGACCCCGGTGGGGTCACAGCCCTTATATCTTATAGACATCACTTTTCCTGTTGTCATCTCTAGCGGTAGCTATTGAATTTACAAATAGGAATGCAATCTCTCAAAAAACTTTTCTCCCACTTCTACAGCTCTATCCCAGCATCCATCAAAAGCCTTTCCAGACACATGGGGAGTTCATGCATATTTCTATACGTTTGTCATGTATCACACACAAATACCACATGGATATATTGAGGTTTTTGCTAGCTAATGTGGAGTGGAGAGGCAGCCATTTGCCAAGCCTAGACATCTTTCTACCCCTCTAGCATTCTTTCTCATGGCGTCTCTTGAATAGTGTACTGGCCCGTCTGCTCCTTGACCCTCTTATCCTTACAGTTGTTTTCTTTCTGCTCTGAAGTATTGGGAAATGTAGACATAACTTTCTGCTTAGCGGCAGCATAGAGAAATCTCTCTGCTGTGGGGTTCCAGCAATACTAACGGAGATAGTTTCATGCCATCACATTTCTGTGACAATATACATAACTCCATACCACTATGTCTCTAAACACAAAGAGAGTTCCTTGCCATTGTGCCTCCACCGCTTTATAGACAGCTCTGTAACCCATCGTCCCTGTGACACTACACACAGAGCCCCATGTCACAATCCCTCTGCAATGTGCAATGCTATTGAACCATCTCAATACCAATGTGTTTCTGCGACAGTTTTGACGCAGCTGCCTGCTGCAGCACTCCTGCGATAGCGCAGAGACAACTGCCTACTACAGCATCTCTGAGACACTAGAGAGGCACCTCCCTGTCAGTGCAGTCTTCATTCTGCAACACTACAGAGATCTGAGTGCTGGATTGTCTTTTCTCCCTCACGTACCATCTAGGAGAAGATGTACAGATGAAATGGTATTTGTATACTGATACAACTGCTTGAAGAATTGTCATGAACACAAGCAGTTAGTTGTCATGTGTTCCTGTAAGTCTCCCAACATCTCCCAGGACATTGCATCCACATTTAAAGGAAAAAAATCAGCATGTCATTTTACATTTTCAAAGAAACAGCCTTTCTACTGTCATGCCAAAGCAAGTTGCTTTAGGAAGATGATAGCAAGAGGAAGCTTGTACATTACAAAAATACAAGGACAGCCCTACCTTCATATGCCCTCCTTTATATTTCACCTCTTCATTCCCCTCCTCTTTGTTATCATGATAGCAAAATTATTTTCCTTGAACCATTCTTAGTTCTGTTTTAAATACAGTTTAAGCCCTGGCTTTACAAACACAGTCACTTCCAGCACAAACCCTAGTGTTTCTTTTCCACATACAAGAGTCCCAAGTGTCCCAGTGTTAAGAGTGTCTTACCTTTCAAAGCAAGTGAAGGGAAGTGCAGCTAAACCTCGACACATGCTGAGAAGTGGCAGCTGGCAACAGGTTTAGTCCTTATCACTGGAATAGATAGCAACAAGCAGCTGTAGCAGCACCTGGTACTGTAGCCCTGTGCTGTAGTCTGGAAACTCAGCATAGGGGCTGTGCTTTATATTGCAGGGGAAGTGGGAGGGAGGAGAGGGGGTTAGCCAAACAATTCCAGCCTGTAGCCAACCAAAAGCTGTTCTGCCAGGAATAGGAAAATGTAATGGTTTAGGTAAGTTTCTTTTGTGTTCATTAAAAGGGGGATGAGGGGGAGAGGCTGAGCTGTCCATGAACAACAGAGTCATAATCAGATCCCACATAAGAGGAAAAGCAGACTAATACACACCTGTGAACTATGCCTGCCATGTCCACATTAGAAGCATTTTGGCTGCCCCTATGCTCACTGGCCTGAAGTGAGAGGGATATGCAGTTAGGGCAGTAGGAAAAGCAGGTCTTTTTTTTTCAAATAAAACAATTCATTCGATAAATGGTAAAAGAAGAGTGTAACAATTAATCAATTTAGTACTGATGGCTGAAGACCTCTTAAATCCTGTCTATACTACAGTTGGAGGCATATTATGAGGATACCACAAAAAACACTTTTATCATTATGGTTTAAATAAGGGTCACCTTCACCAGCAAGTTCTAGCAACTTTGCACCACACTAACAATGCTTAGCAATCACAAACCTAATTAAAATATCTTATCTTCAGAGCAGGGCAAAGCAACAGGAGCATACTACTAAACGGCTCATAATTTCTCTTACATTGAAGCTAGGGAAAAGGTAGCATGCAAATGTTTCATCCATGCATGCAAATGTTACTGTAGATCAGTGGCATAACACAGCAGTTTGGTACCTAGAGCAGCAATGGTGTCAGTGGCAGCTCCAGGGTGCTGGTCCCAGTAGTGTGGCCGGTGGGCAGGAGTGGCAGCTGTCATTTTTCTGCTTCCCCCGTAAGTCAGCACCTAGGGTGGCTCTCCTAGTTACCCCCATTTAGTTACACTACTGCTGTAGGTCTGAGCTATGAACATATTCATACAGTATCTGGCCTCATCTGTATTGTAAGACTATAGGGTTGGAAGGCCAGGTATAGTGTAATGAGATCCTATGACACAGATTATTTAGTTTGTGGCCTACATGGGGCCAGTCACAAACTTGTTGACTATGCTCTGCACGTAGTGATATGTTATGCATGTAGTGATATAGGAGAGAAGAAGAAAAGTGCAGAAGGAAGGAGAGAATAAATAACCAGGGGCTCTGACAGAAGTGACATTTATCATGCAATCAGCCCCTGAAAGCACACTGCAGCTGTGCCATGACACAGGTGGATGGGTGCAGAGCATTTCAAAAGTGGCCAGTTGCATGACATTAACTCTCATCTAATGAGAGATCAGATGAAGGCACTCCAAAGTGGAGTGCCCAGGAACTCCTGTTCCCTAGGGTCAGTTGGTCAGTGTGATTGGGACTAGACTGATGTGTGGGTGGATTGGAGCCCTCACCTCACAGCCATCCCCAGCACACTCTTCCTCCAGCTCAGGTCCAGTAACCCCCAGCCCTCAGCTCCCTCCCCTCCTTTCTCCACCCTCCATTCCTGCAGACAGCTCTGGAGCTGGGAGAGGAGCAGTGGGGCTAGGGGAGATAGGCTGCAGGCAGGATCCGCCGCTGGATCGACTCCAAAGTGGAGCTCAATCCCTTCCCCCCCACCCCAACAGATGCTTTATGTGAAGTGCCATGAGTTAGAGTAGAGACCTGCATGCCTGTCAGCACCCCAGGGCAAAGGTATGATGGTGATAGATGGACACAATATAAACATCTAGATAGAAAAGAGTAGAGGTTGACAGAAATAACAGAATAAGAAGAGAAAGAGAGAATGGAGCTGCAGAGAAAGATAGAAGAACCAACGAAAGAGAAGAGAATGAGGGAAGAGGGAGAGAAAAAGGTTCAAACAAAGGTCTTATCATGCTGACTAACTTGCCATGACAGGGACGCATACTGTACCCTTACAGAATTAGAGCATAGCCTGGCTCTTGCATCTGTAGATAGGGCTAAAATATGTTTAAACAGTGTTGCTGAGCTATAGAACACAATCCACAAGAATTGGACAATAGAGAACAGGAGGGAAGCATGAAGTTCCTTTTTTTCATATATTAGAGGCCTCCTATCTATGAGCTGAGGCTTCTGGAAAGTTCCTATTTTAGCACAGCGTCATTCTTTCCAAGGCCAGGCCAGTTGCTCAGCTGAAACAGCTGCATACATAATGCAGCAGTGTCTAACAAAGGAGTGGCTTGAAAGCAGCATCATCATGCCACTGTACCATCCTATAAATTATATTGTGCTTCAGCCTACGGTGCCAGGGACAGTGAAATGGAGAAAGATAGTAAGGGAAGTAAGAAATAAATGCAGGGAAGCTGTAGACAACAATCAATGGGAGAGAGATAAGCAGGAGCAATTAGATAGCTAAGATACAATTGTCATATCAGATGAGATCAAAGGTCCCTATAGTCCAGCATTCTGCCTCCAGCAGTGACTATAACTGATTCTGCACAGGCAGGTTTAAAACTCCATGGTGGACAGTTCTGACTGCCAGACAGATTTGTAAGCAGGGTGTACAGCTCTCAGCTGTAGAAAAGCATCTCTTTCTGTGAATAACACCTGCTCCCTCTACTGCTATAGTTAACAGCACAGTTTCCCAACATGAACTTTTTGTGGTCCCAGGTTTTCCTGGCATTCTATGGAAAAGAGAGCTGATACTATCATAGACTCAATGTCTCATGTTCCTTCAGATACAACCCATGTGAATCAAACTGTAATACAAATTTTCATCCCTCAATTCCTTTCTCCCGAGTTACGCCATCTTAACCCCTCTGCTGCTATCATTCCAACAGGCAATGTGGACAGTTTTCCATGAATTGAAATTGTCGTTCTCTCTTCTTGCCCTGTGGATGTATCTACCACTATAGCCATGTACATGAAACTGCCTGAGTTCTGGCTTCTGTGGCAGAGACAATGCAGTGTGCTGGAGATTTCAGTCTTACCTTGTGCAGCAAATGCTGCGCAAGGTCTCATATCAGCATATACATCTTCCCAGCTAACTATCGGCATGTACAAACATTTGCTTTCCCAAGAGAAACTCTTATAGGAGTGATTTAACCTTGGTTGTTCCCAGGTTTTTTTTTCTCCTGGAGTGGCCATTTGTACCATAGAGGAAAAAAGCCTAAACATCTGTACCCTCATGGTTTCTCCTGGGAGAGCAGTGACTCTCCCAGGAGAAACTGAATTTCTGTATGAGGCCCTTGTCTTCCTCTCCAGAAGTAGAAAGTTATATAATAAGAGGCCAGATTTAGTAATAGACTTTGGATTGCTTTTTTTGTCTGTTAAACCAGGTTTATGGCAGCTTTGTATTGCTGGAGCAGCAGGAAGCAACCAGAGCATACCAGTGAATCATGCCTATGATATTTATAATGGAACCCATACTTTCTCTAACCGTGTTTTACAGTGGCACTGGAAAATGATTCAGATACTAGACACCGTACTCGGTCTATTACAAGGTGGGAAGGACACACAGGAAAACTTAGAGCTCTTTCCTTCTTTCATTCCTAGCAGAGCTGGAGATATTCTGAAAAAAAAGCATAGATTTATACCAAACCTCGTATAATTAACCCTGCCTGGGTACTTTTAAGAACATCTCTGTAGTGTCTGAACACAAATGTATTATCATCACAACACCCCTATGAGGGAGGAAATTACTATTGTTCCAGTTTTACACATGGAGGAGTGAGGCAGTTACTTGTTCTGGGTCAGGCAGAGGAATGCAATAAAGGAAAAGAATAACCACAGATCTGAGCCTTAGCACAGGACTTTCATATGGACCAGGCTTGTTCTCCTAATGCATCTTTCTACTTTTCCTCTAAAGCAGGAGTTCTCAATCCCCGGTTCTCAATCCCCGGTCAGCTGCCCATCTGCAGCACAGTCGGCTGCTGGACCGGAAGTGGCCGCAGACCAGCAAACCATGGCCCCCCAGAGCCAGGTGGAGAGGCCACGGCTCCTTTCACAGAGCCCGTGGCAGTGCAGGGTTTGGCCCATACCCCACCTGGTGGTAAGAGTATCCTTACCTATCTTCTGGTTGGAAATTCTAGCCACGGTTGGCTGTGACTGCTGGGCTGCGGTTTGCCAAGGCACAACCACTTCCGGGCCGCGGCATACAAACTTTGAGAAACCCTGCTCTAAAGCAAACTAGATTTGATTTGATTAGATTAGGTTCTAAAGCAGTGGCTCACAGCCCACGGGCCACATACAGCCCAATCAGCACATTACTGCAGTACTTGTGACATCCTATTAAAACATTTTTAAATGGATACACAGGAAACACAGGATACACAAGTTACGTGGGTGCGCCCCACATAACACATTGAGAGCTGCAAGTGTAGCCCACTATAGCAAATAGGTTGAGAACCACTGTTCTAAAGTAAACTAGATTAAGGCTTTTCTGATCAGTGTGTTCTTTAGATATAGATATATATTTAGAGCTAGAGAGGATACATGTTTGTGAATTCTTTGTACCTTAGAACTGGGAGTTGAGGTGTGATGATTTTTGTGATTTTCCACTCACATACAGATTTAGCCCTAGGTCTCAGAAAACAGAAGGGAAGTGGGAGTGTGTGAGGCTGTAACATTGCATTTACCTGGCTATGTGTGATGAAAAGCTAGCTGTCTGCCTGCCTCTTTGTGCCCTCTTTTTGTAACTTAGGGTTGATAAAAGAAATATATATTTTTTAATATAAATATATTTTTTATTTAAATCAGATTTATTCATCTAGGAACTGAATTTAGGGCTCAGTCCTGTGGGAGATCCAGAGGATGTGCAACAGAGTGCAAGAAACTGGCAGAGGCATCACAGATATTAGTACCTGGTTTCTGACTGCTGAAAACATCATGATGTCTCTCATTAGGATTAAATTTCAGGTACCATCCTAATACTACTGCTGGATACAACTCAAGAGCAAAGTGCTAATCAGTTAGTAAATAAGCAGGATACCTGGGAGCTGGTAGTGCTCCTGTATGCTGGTTTTATATAATCCACAGCCAAAATCTTTTCCAAGTTCCCAAACAGTTCTTTTATTCAAAGTCCTTCTTAGTAAAGGAGGGTCAAACAAATAAAAAACATAACTGTTTCCCTTCAGACTAACAAGGGAGACAGTGCTTCTTCCCCTTCAAGCACTCAAGGCTTTCCAGCTTCAACAAGCGCCACTTACCCTCCTTGCTTACTTTCAGCTAGTGCCTTTTGAATGCTCCCAGCCGAAGATCTGCCCAATGGCCTGTTCCCCTCTGCCTGGACCTCATCATCAAGAAGAAGGCCAACTGGAAGAAGGCCAATGTGGTGCCTATCTTCAAGAAAGGGAGGAAAGTGGATCTGGCAAACTATAGGCCCATTGGCCTGACTTCTATCCCGGGGAAGATCTTAGAAAAGTTTATTAAAGAGGCCATC